ATATATATATATATATATATCTTTATTTTTACTTACTTTATTCTTACCTTGATTAATATTGATAATTTGAGAACAACGATTACTATTGCTTTAATATCAAGAATGATGTTAACTGACGTTATTTTATCACACTATAATATTAACCTATTTTATTTTTTCAAGAATTAGTTAAAAATATATGTTGATAAAGATAAAATTATCTATTTACTTATCTACTTAACAAGTAACAATAACGAAATAAGTATAAACAAAATATAAAACGTGTATTATCAGCAGTAATGTAATACAAATACACAAATAAAAAAATCTTTATCAATAAGTATATGCAATAAGAATAGAAAGGAAAAGATTAATATGTTTCGAATAGGAACCATTCGAATTAATTCAAAATTATTTGAATAAAAATATGTCAATCAAGTGCATTTTAATACACGCAAAGATGTATTCAGAGGATAAAAGAATTTTAATCACACCTTATTCTACAATATCCTTAACATCGGAATGGCAACGATACTAATTATCAAGTTGATGATTATTGTGTCACCTACATCGGTCGTGTGCCGTGTAGAAATAACTCTCTCGCATTTTAACATCGTTTCGTGTACTATTATGAATTCGTGGCGCGTCTCGAGATTGCGTCATCCCTGTTCAATAATTCAAAAACAGGTTGCAAATCTGTTCCACCATTTAAGAAACGTCTCGATAAAGTTGCTTTTCGTTGCATGCAAGATGAAATCTTGCATGCATACATTTTTCGTCGTCGACCTAACCTTATTCTGATCACTGCAATATGGAAACTTTATTACGACGATATTAATGCAATTTTTCGCGATATATTTGGTGCATAATATAATATAATTCTACTTTAGATTAATTTTATTTTTTATTATAAATAACGAATGAAATTTAATAATTTTAATAAGAAAAAATTATCGATCGATTATATTTAGAATCTATAGATTGATTCGATATTATATCAAAGATTATTTCAATATCGAATAAGATAAGATTAGCATATATAAAAAAATAGATTTGAATTTCTTCTTTTTTTTATTTATTTATTTGTCTAAGGATTGATTTTGATATTTATAGAATAATAACAATAAATTTAAGAAATTCTTCTTTAAGTGAATATTTTTTTTTTTTTTTCAGAAAAATTAAATTTTTTAAACAAAATCGAGCACAAAGTTATTAGGGTTAATAGTTGAAAAATTATTGAGCATGTGACTTCTCAAGATTACGATAATGACGTGAATTCACAATGACAGCGCATGCTTGATATCGACTTGTAGCAGCAACAGTTTCGTAAAACGCAGTCATAGCCGCAGTAGCGACAGCAATAGAGAATCACGAAATAGAGAGGGAAACAGAAACACTGGTAAGAATCTCACGAAGATTCTTTAAGCGATTTTTCGATTCTCCCTCGCAATTAAATATTACAAATTGCAATTTTTAATTTTTCCATTTTTTAATCTCTCAAATTAAACCATTAAATCATTCATTATTAATTCGTTGTTTCTTCTTTATATACAATTCTTAATCTTGAAACTCAAATACTATAATTGCATTCTTCTATTCTTATTATCTCAATTATTCTCTTCTAAATTAAACGATAAATTATTTTTAATCCATTTTTTTTTTATTTGTAATTTTAAATTTTCCAACTCGAAATATTTTTTTAAGAGATTTGCAAAAATTAATTTTCAAAAGAGATTATCGATTTAATTCAAAAAATTGTTGGACGAATAAAATAAAGATAACAAATTTACATTTTCACTTATGGCATAGATTTAAAATAATGCCACATTATTAAGATCAAACATCGTAAAGTTCCACGCCCTCATTAACACATACCTTCTAAACGATTTCATTAAGACCGCTCGGGGAATGGAGGGATTCGTGAAAAAGGAGCAAAATTCCACTCGTTTTTAATTAGCCTCAAAATATTCCTGAGTTTATAACTTTACGTATTAGAAACGTTCAAAAAACATGGGACACGTCGGTGGAAAAGAAAGGAAAAGAAAAAAAAAGGAAAAATAATAAAAAGAAGCGCCATCGGCGTTCGCACGATGGGCGCAGTCGCGCCGAAATTCTATCGCCAGTCCAACATTGACCGTCGTCCGTGTTCGCATTTTTTTCTGGTTTTCCGCTCGAGAAAACAGCCTTGGAACGATAAATACATCTACAAGAAACGTACAAACGACGTAGAAAAATTTTAACGTCGATAAAAGAGAAAT